CCCCCCCCCCCCCCCCCCCCCCCCCCCGTGTGCTGCATGACCAGGCTGTAGCACCATGGGGACTGCTGGCTTCCTCTGGGGAGCTAGCATTTTATTTTCAGTCAGGGTTTTTTGTTTTGTTTGGGTTTTTTGCAATTTCCGCAAAATCACAGTTTTGTTAGGTCCCTACCTATGAGTAGATGGCTTTAATATGATGCCCCTGAAATACAAAAACACAGAGTAGTTTTAGTGACTGTTCTTTGCATCTCTCAGTATATTTGTCATACTTGAATGCTGGGGGCAGAGGGAAGAGTGCAGTAATTAATCTAAATACAATACACTTTTGTGCACCAGGAATACAAGTGACACTATTAATAACGTTATAAATAGAAGCATGAAGCATGTTGATAATAAAAATTTTTAAAAAGTTGTGGTCAAACAGCTGGTGCACAGCACTAGGATCTCTTTTTGGTATTGCTAAATCAAAACTTTTTCTCTTTTAAATTTAAAAAAAAAAAGAAAAAGAAATTTCTGGTCCTGATGGGGGAAAAATAGAACCACTTGAATATGTCTCAGGGCAGATTGCCTGAATCTGCTCATAACAGACCTGTCTCAGAGAAGTGTGAAAATACGTGTCACTTTAAGAGGGCACGAATTCTGGAGCCAAAGCTTAATTGAAATGTTAACGTTAACTTGTGTCATTGCTTTAGAAATCCAGGTCCTGGGATTGTGGGCATAGCTTGAATACTAGTTTTCTTTGCCAAGTCTCTCTCTTTGGCTTTGGTATACTGTGCTAATAAAGCCTGTGCAAGTGTTTTAAGCAGTCTGTCCCCATATGCACAAACAACCGGCCAGTAATAAAGATTTAGACCAGCCCAAAGATGAGTGAAACAGGTGCTTGATCAGTAATTTGTTAGATGCTTTTCCATGATCTAGCTGCCAGAATAATTTGTGGCATGCTCTTAGTGTAGCTTTGCCTGCATAATTATGCCTCTATCCAGTTTTTCCTTACTGTGGTATCTAAATCCCAGAACTAAGGATCTTAATACTTTTGTTCATAAAACATTTGACTCTACTGCTTGTTTAACCTCTGTTCTTTGGCTTCCTTTATAATTTTGGCAGATGATTTCCCCTGATTTACCTTTTCCTTTTTTGCTTATATTCCACAAAGGGATTCATAACAGGGTTAATACTGAGCTTGGAAGAGTCGGGACTGAGGCGGTATTTGTAGCAGCTTTCTCTAACGACACAGGAAGTAGCAAAGGCCAGTACTGTTCAGTTGGAAATGTCATTTTCATGAGTCAGCAGATAATTCTGGTCTGTTACCTGCAGCAGTGTTTTGGGGGAGGAGAGGGTGGAATAAGCCCACAACTCTTATCCTTTTAAACAAAAATGATTATATGCAAGATAAGGCAGTTGAGCAGGGGAGGCAAGCCTGAGATCAAACATGGCTTGAACAATGGAAGACTTGCATTCCATCCCATCTGCAAGCCAAGTATCGGCTAGCAAAAACCATCTAATAAAATAAAAGCCTTACTCTGTCTGTCTGTGTGTCCGTAACGCTTTTGCCCAACTGCGCATGTGCCAATTGGCTGGACGGGCGAGTGGGTGGGGCCAGCTGAGTTCAAACGGGAGCTCCTCTGCAGCCGCCAGTGCCTCCTCCAGTGTGGCAGCTTCCTCCATCCCACCTCCACTTTAAGTGGGCTTTTTTTTAAGCCCCCTGATCACTGTCCAGGCGGGTTTTTTTAAATCGGCCCAGAGGTTCAGGATTTCCCTTTGCTCTGGGGGTAAAAGCAGGGGGAGGGCAATGGGAGGCAGCAGGGAGCACACACGGACCTGTTTGCAGCCATGCGGTGCTCCCTGATGATTGCCTCCCCCTGCTCCCACCCCCGGAGCACAGCAAAATCCCAAACATTTGGTCAGGGCAGGGCGAGTGGGGGCTGCAGCTGTGACAGGACAGGGGGGTGGGGAGGGTTGCTTGTTTTCCAGCAGGGGGGGAAAAGGGGTGAGGGCCAGCGGTGGCAGCACAGGTGCTGGTGCCTATACTCGAGGGGCTGAGCAGCCACTGCCTGGGGAGGGGGGAAAAGGAGCGGGGAAGAGGGGGAGGGGCTGTGGCCTGGCTGCCTTGAAGGGCACTGCAGCCCTATCCCAGGGCGGGAATGGCACAAGCCTCCCTTCCTCTTCCCTCAGCCCATGCTGGGGCTGGACATGCTCTGCTGCTGCCTGTGTGAATTGAAGCCACTGTGCTCCTGCTCAGGCAGGACGGGCAGCTGGGGCCCTCCTGCAGGGCTGCGGGGAGGGGGGGGATAGGGGGCTGCAGGGCTGGGGACTGTGGGTTGGGAGTGTGGGGGGCACTGGCAGCACTGGGGGGCTTTAGGTCAGGAGTGAGGGGCACTGGCAGCACTGGGGGGCTGTGGGGCAGGAGTGGGGGGCACCAGCAGGGACAGGGTTAGTGGGGCTGTGGGTCGGGAGTGAGAGGCACTGGGGTGGAGGCAGGGGACTGTGGGCTGGGAATGCAGGTCACTGGCAGCATCATGGGGCTGTGAGTCAGGAGGGAGGGGCACCAGCAGGGATGGAGAAGAGGGATACAGGTTGGGAGTGAGGGGCACTGTCATGGCCCAGGGGGGCAAGATACTGCAGTTTGGTAAGTAAGAGCCACTGGCAGGGCTGGGGTCAGTGGGTTGAGAGTGAGGGGCAGCAGCAGGGCTGGGAGGCCTGTGACTTGCCAGTGAGGGGCAACAGAATGGGCAGGGCCACCCTTCGGGGCCGGCCATGTAAACACTCCTTTGAAATCCATCATTCGTGAGGGGCAGTTGGTATGAGAGAAGTCTCATTATGTAAGAGAGACCTGAACAATTCATTTCCAGGCATGATGGTTTCAGTGAGTGTTTAATCCTTGACTTTTATTTAGCTGTATATAAAAATAAAACAGTAATTATCAAACAGTTGAAAGAGAGGCATTTTAGATGATTGCATCAAGTTCTCTTGTGATGAGCCGGACGTTAATTTGCATTTTGGTAACCTGTTTCATTTTCAGAGTCACCATGAATATAGATTCTAATTCAGGGGTGGGCAAAATATGGCCTGTGGGTCAGATCCGGCCTGCAAATTGATTGTATCTGGCCTGTGACTGCCCCTGTGGTGCTCTGCTTAGGCATGTAGTGCCTAGCATGCGTCCCCATGGCTGCCACTGCTTTCCTGTGCTGCCTACTGCCCAGAGGGGCGCAATAGGAGGAGGAGGAGCTGCTGGAGGTGGGGGGAAGCCAAGCAGTACCCAGATGACTGCAGAAGCAGTGGGTGCAGCCCGGCCAGGAAACTGCATATTGGCCCAGGGCGGTGCCATCAGTGGGTCTGGGGCAGGTGTGGATGGGATCAAGTTAGGCTTTGTCTCATGCGGAGTGGTGTGGGGGCAGCTGCAGGCCAGAGGGGAGGGACACAGATCTCACCTACACCCTACTGCCTGGGTGAGCTCTGCTGCACATGCCCCCTGTTGGCACTTGGGAATAGAGGGTCTCTAATCTCAAAAATACCCCTCAAATATACCTCCTTAGTGATTGTTCTTATATAAATTGCTTTCTCACACTGCTTTCGTGTCCCCATTTTACAAATGACAATAGCACTAACTTGCTGATCTGCTTCTTGGGCATTCTGTGATAAGTTCTCATTTATTTTGAATAAAAAGGATATTCAAAGGTTCCTTACATGTAATACAGAGCAAGCCATCATCTAAAATGCTGACCAACTCTACCAGGCAGTAGGCTCCCTGTCTAGCTGTACAAACTGAGCTGCTTATACAGTAAGATTCTGTGGTCGCATCTACATGTGCTATTAATCCAAAGTAGGCTTACTACACAGTAAAAATACTGCGCAGTAAGCCTACCTGGGAACAGATTTGTTCACAGTGGGAGAAGCCTGGTACAGGGCTGCTTCTGCCCTGCTCTGCCCCCCTGTAGCAGCCGGGGGGAGCTCCAGGCTCCTCCTGGGTGCTAGCCCAGGGGCTGGCAGGAGAGCTCTGCCAGCTGCAGTGGGAGCTGTCTCCTGACCCCATACACATTGGGAGCGGTCCTGAACTGCACAGGGCCAGGAGACAGCTGCTGCAGAGCTCTCCTGCCCCAGGCACTTGGGGATAAGCCCCATGCCCAGTGGGGGCTTCCCAGTGCAGCCTGGGGCTGTCCAGAAACCATCTGGTTCTGGGGCATGTCCCAGCCAGCTTCAGGCTGAGTGGAGAGTTCAGCCCTCGCTTGTCCCCAGATTAGCCAACTCTGCAGAGGAGCTGGGACAGGGGACAGAGAGCTCTCCAGTCCTGGTGCTGATCAGCTCCTAGCTCCTGCGGGGAGCCAGGGAAATGAGCAGTGCCAGGACTGAGAGTGTCCCCTGTCCCCTGTGGCTCCTTGCTGGCTAGTCTGACCAGGAGCAGATTTGCTCCTGGACAGTGTCTACATTTGTTTTACTGCTCAGTATCTACTACACAGTTAATTTACTACTTGTATTTATAGACTAGCCAATTGCCCATCAAGAATGATGGGCAAGGGGGGCCCTCTTACCCCACCCTCGCCCCTGCAGCTTCAGGGCTGGGCCTGTTCTATGCCCCCCCTCCCCTTTTTGGGGCTGGTGTTGGGGCGTGGCAGCCGCGGCAGTAGTGGGGTGCCACCACCATGCCCTCTCCCTCCCTGTCAGCTTTTGTCAGGGCCCGGCGTCTCCTTGCTCCCCTGCGTCTGGCCCTTCCCCTGCTTCCCATCCAGTTGGGGGAGTGAGGGGAAAGGGCCTGCTCCTTCCCTCCCCCCTGCTCCATTGCTGCTGCCTGTAGCCAGTGGAGGGGAAGCAGTCCAGCTGTGTTGGCCTGGCTTTCCCGCCACCCCCACTCCATCCCCTGTGTCCCTGCCATCATGGCAGCACTCCGCCACACCGTCTCCTGTCTGAACACTTGGAGCACTCTGGTTGGTTGTCAGCCAATCAGAGTGCAAATAAAGCATTATGGACAGACAGAATAAGGCTTTTATAATATTCGAATAGTAGCTAACTGCACAGTAGACTAATTTTACTCTACAGTAAATATGAGTACATGTAGATGCTGATGCTTTGCTGCTCAGTAGACTACTGCACAGTAAAGTGTCTGGTGTAGGTGCACCCCATGTGCATTTCTTTTGTCCTTGTCTTATGCTGCTACTAGCAATAGAAAATGTTAGACTAGATCAGCCAGGTGGGTTCTTCATCATTGCACTGTCTTATTGCCTGTGTTTTGATTATACTAGCGTTTCCTAGAAAGTGGGAGAAATGCTTTTAAATTTCTCTTCAGGTGATGTCCAGTCGTGGATCAAATTCTCATGGGGGCTAGTGAGCATGAGGGTTTAATTCGAAAGGAATTGGAATGAGAGTGGAAGTATTGGTTGACTAACTATTCTGGCATTGCTGAGAAATTTGCATAAACTCCACAAAAACAAAATTGGGAGAGGAGGTTCCAATATTTTAAGAAATTCCATTGTATTTTTCTTTTAAAAATGGGACTACTGTTTTATGAAGCATGGAAGAGGCTCAGCCTGTTCAAAGTACTTTGAGAGCTTTGCATGGCAAGTGCAAACTCTCAGTAAACTCTAAATAACTGTAGATGCCACGGAGAGGCATTGCAGTTGCCATGTGTTAACGAATTACATTGTGGGCCAAGTGGCCCAGTATATAGTATCAGCACTTGAACTTAAGAGAGACTCTAAGCATTCCCCTGGGGAGAGAAATATTTGCCATTCTACGTAGCTTCGTTACTCGATGTGGATGGTGTGTTTCAAAGTCTACCAACAGATAATATCTGCTGCCTGCTAATAGTAAAAGCATAATCATAGTACTTGAGTCCTGCAGGTGTCTCAGTAGTTTTGTCATCTCCTTTCTTACTGTCGTTTGCATAACTACACTTCTGAGAATGCTTATGTAACTGGCATTGTCCAGTAGGGGTTGCAAAGAGTACCTATGAAGTGAATTGGCTATCACTTGAACTTAACTTTGTAACTGGAACTAGTATGGCTAATAGTAGCAGCCCAGTGGAGTTATGGTCCACAATTAGATCTAGATGCTATACTAATAAAAATAACCATATTGGGATGTTAAATTGATACCACTTTGAGCAAGGTGATGAAGTCTCTGTTGATACTTCTGAAGACTTCTGGAAGCATCACTCCTTTCCATGGGGTGCTGCAGCACCTTCATTGTTCTTTCTTTTCTTTTTTTCCCCAGATGAAATAAAAGCAGAGATAGAAAAGCCAAGGTAAGTGTCTAATTGCTACGTCATGTTACAATTTTTATTTTTGACCACTTGTCAACATCTGCATGGTAGCGAATGCGCAAGTATCTAAGTAGTAATAGGTGCAAGCAAGTTAGTTTATTGGAACAAGTTTATAAATGTGCTTCTGGCAGGAAAGTTTTGGGGGGCGGGGGGGATGTCCTAATTATGAAATACTCGTGGTTTGACTACCAGGGCCACAACTGCTATTGTAAGTCAGGTTATTGCTACACTTCCTCAGGATGTGGAAAATTAGCATCCTTTCTTTTAACTGGATTTTTCCTTCAACAGATTATGAAGAAATTGTGCATGTTAATGAATTACACTTGGTGTCTCGTGTGTGTTCAACTATGTATGCTCTTATTTGTCTGGACCAAAGATACCAATACATAAAAGCGTTTAATTAGATATTTATTAATCAAGTCTCTAAATTTCTTTCTAGCGTTATGAACTTTGAATTTGAATTGAAACCGAAAGGTGGGGATGGCTTTCATGGAAGAAAGTGTATGGGGTTTTTGTATGAGAACATGAGCACTTAATACTTTGTTTTGCACCAAATCTTTCACTAGAGACTTGTACACTCCACAACCTTTTTTCAGAATAGCAGAAGATGTTTTATAGCTTAGACAAGTGCTTCTCAAACTATCTGAAGTGGTGGACTGGCAGTTTTTTTTTTTCCAGTGGGCCAGGGGCCGGTGCCCAGTTCAGCTGGTGGCAGCAACTGCGTGTAACAGTGCTATGCAAATGTGCAACCGGCTATTTCTTTCCCTTTCCTCACCTTGCACGACGTGACGTCACCTGGAGTGTTGGAACGTACAAACTGTGGTGCTCTGACATATCAATGTTATGCTTCTGAAAATATATTTCTTTCTTTCCTGGCAACTCGCTGCAGACCAGCACCGGTCCGCAGGCCACCACTTTGAGAAGCACTGGCTTAGACTATGCTTTCTTACTTGGACTATATTAGTTTTCTAATAAATAATCAAAATATAATCCAGAAGCTACAGTTTATTTTTTCTCTGCAAAGTTGGAGAGAGCAATTGTTAAGGCCTGTTTACTTCTTATCTCTAATAGGTTCTGTTTCTAGCGAAACACTTGGACAGCAAGGTGAAAAAGCATCACTGATTTCAAAATGGATAAATAGCAGTTAAAACTTGTTTGTGGAACTCAGTCATGAAGATCTGTCCTTTGTCTTGCTCAGATTTTAAAGGCATCATTGTCTTATCTAATTCTGCTACTCAGAGTAAAAATATTTATTGTGGTCTCAGTATTCCTCCCCCCTTGCAATCTGGAATTCA